GGCTGGTGAAGAAGTTCCTGCCAGACTGAAGGCAGTGTTTTGTATATCAAAAAGCAACCCTTGACTCATTACTCCTACTAAAAACATAAAAAACCACAAACAAACAAAACCACACAAACAAAAAAAAACCAAACCAAACACTTTAAAATTTAAACAAGCTATGTTGCATGCTCCTTTTAAATATAAAGGAAGAAGACCCAGCCTACTGTGAATGTAGATTTACAAATGACCAAAACAAGTATCTTTTCTCAAAAGTCGGGCTATAGCTGCAGTGTAGTAATTGTTTCTCCTCCTTGGCTCATTTGCTTTTGTGTTATTTGTATACTGTTTTGCAATGCTCAATTATTGAGCTCAGGAAGAACTTCGTTTGATTAAAAAAGAAATCATGTTCATGTTTTGTAACATTACAAAAACTACAGAAACTGCATTTCCAAATGTTTCTGATCATAATCTGAATTGTCATCTCTATACCATAGATTTAAGTTGTAAAAAGAAAAAGCTCATTAGTATTTCGTATTTATAGTTTCATCTGACCTGTGTTCATCTCTTGATATAAGAAGCAACACTCTTTTGAAAAACAGGGAGGTATGAACCCAGAATACTTGAGAAAATGACAAATCAGTGATGAACAAGAAATGGACTGCACATCTCTCCTCAATGCATTGTGACATACCAGTATCTAGAGACTCTTCTCAACTCCGCTACACATTTGGATTAATAGTGGAATACAAAAGTGATACAGTTAAACCTGAAGAAATACATGATTTTCATTGTTCCACTCAAACAGGCAAAGACCTGTTTAATGAAGTGTGGCAGGAAAGGTTTCTTTAACCCTCAATTCATACAAATACAATTAAAATTAAATTAAAATGATCACCTGGAACCTTCACCAACATCATTTTGTCCTTATGTACAGAAACCAAAGATGAGTTTGTCTGTCTCCTGAATACCTATCTAATGCATCATTACTTAAAAGGTTTTACTACTCAGTGAAACAGGAAGTTTCGTGACATCTTTTATTTTAGAATGAGCACTCAGTAAGTCAGTGTCCCACTTTTGATACTGAAGTATTCCACAAGATCAACCATTATGGTTCAATTAGGACCTTTTATCCAAAACACTTGGATTTTAGCACCTTAAATAAGAACTCAAAGTAACATCGTAGTAGTATCAAATGAAGACAGTTAATACCGTGCTCATCATCTGGAAAACATGGACCACACATACTAGGTGCATTTAGTTCTTAACAGAGAGTAAGGCAGAAGGGAAACAATTCCAAGCAATGCATTTGGCTGAATACAATCTGAATAATAACAAAATCATCCCAATTATATAAAGTCTTTCAAGGAGAAATCAAATTTGCTCCCATACATCAAGAATTCATAGTATTTAAATCAAATGTTCATTTACAATCAACCAGGTCAGTTGGGAATCTGTACCGCCCCCCCCCAAAAAATCTGGTTATTAAACATCAGTGGTACATCTAACTCAAAGTTTAACCCTGTACTGTACTGTAACTAGTCCTTTTTCAAAGATTTAAACAAACCCTTAAACCAGTAAAACGAGTAAGTTTCCAGAGTTAAAGCTATTTCTTCTAGCTCACTGCCTAGACAATGGGGCATACGCAACGTTTGCTTCCACAGGCACAATTCTTTGGCAGCGGCAGCACCCTGAATGGCATGACTTTTGCTTTCACTCCGACACTGCTCACGTGGGTCCTATAATTCCATTAACATCCCAGCATCACTTCTGGTAGTACAGAATCTCCTTTCTGCACTGATTTGGAGTGCATCCATTAAATATCTGCCTTAGCTTCTACCATGCTCCTAAGCACTTCTGTGGATTTCTGGGGACAGAGAGAATGGGTTTTGTTTATTTTAAAGAAACAGGCAGTCTAACCAGACGGGTCCTAAACACCATGATTTCAGGCATCTTTGGCCACTGTAACATTATTCTTCACAATTTTAGGCAGCTGCCAAGTGAGCCTAGCAAACTGGCTTCCAAGAGAATCTTTCAGCACCGTACTCTGCTATCTAACAGCAGTTACGAATCAATGACCAACTCACATACCCAACATGGACACAACTACTACAGATGAACATCAGTGTATTCTGAGACTGTATTTCTTCTTTTCCACTTAACTTAGGTTTGTGATGTTAGACACACAGATTTGTATGTTAATTTCAAACAGCAACTAAAACATAAGAAGTTACAAACTAAAGTAGTCAATTGCTGGCATTAAACATTACCTTTCCTGTAACTAAACAAATGGCCAATATTAATAAGTAAACTGGTGTTTTCAACATAAAAGTCTTAACTTCAGTAATCTCTGCTTCCTTCCTTCCCTCTCAGTAAAGCCAGGAATTGTATGCAAAATTAGTTTCCCTTCAAAGAAGGGTAGAGCAGCATTCAGTCTGGTTAGCGTGTCCGTCATAGATCCTCTCTCTGTTTGGTAGCTCGGTTGTCCTCTTTGATGCTATTAGATTTCTTGTCTGCGTCTTTTTTCTTCCTTGCTTTTTCAGGTTTTGTTTTGTTTTTCACTTTCTCACTTTCTTCTGCTCCTTTGCCAGGATAAACCTGACCTTCCAGAGTAACATCCGCACACCTTTCTTGATTTATCAGAAAGTCTTTGATCTCCCAGGCGTAACCACCATCACGTAGCATAAAGATGGCACGATTTGAGCCAACAATAAACCTAGAGGAAAGATACATATTTTTTCAGTTAGTTCTGTGCCTTTCAAGTACTACAGCATTTTGCATAATTCAGAGCACCTCCACAACTGAGCAAGACATTAGCCTTTTGTTGTTGCCTGAGGATGAGGACAAAAGAACAATTTTCTAGTACAAGTAATAATAAAATGTATTAACTTTACAAATAATCAAGGAGGACTAAGAATGCAAAGAAAACTTAAGAACTAATTTGGCACTATGTAAAATCTACTAATGGGCATTAAATTTGCTTTATACACTTGCTGCAACCCTTCTCAGCCTCAATTCAAGAGCACAACACTCCTCTGTTTCAAAATGATCCTCTCAGAGAAAAATCACACTTTTTTAGCCAGGGGAACAAAAAGCCTTTTGTGGTGACAAGTCTTCCAAGTGTGATGTTTTCCATCAAGCACATAAAGGCAAACTACTGCAGCTAAAACAGCTGAAACATAACAAGATAAAAAGAAACTAGGCTATACATACGTCATACATAAGCATTATAGATATTTTTGCACCACACCAGAATTTTTGTAGTGTAACTTAAAACAAATTGGTATATAAACTGATACAGAAACAAAGGAATAGTGACAGGCGATGGAAGTGGGGAAGGGCACGCAATGAACAGCTGGAGATTTTCAGGAAGAAAGAACAAGGGTTCTGTAAAAGCAAGAACTTTATCCTGACGTACAAAAGCTTACCTTTGCACATCATAGTTGGCATTGAAGAGACTGCCCTGCCACAAGCTAGTAATTTCTTCCGTCTCCTTTTCCGTGGGATTTCCCGACACCGTGACAAACATCATCAAAGTCTTCCCCTTTTTCGTCAGCTTCAGAATACTTTCAGGCTTGCCTGGATCAATTTTTGAGAAATCTATTGGTGCTGGAGGCCTCTTGTGTTCGGGAAGATCTCCCTCTTCAATGTCATCATCTTTCTGTTTTGAAAAGGAAAAGGAGGCTTTGAACTCAACTGTTCCACAAAGCTGTTCTTTTTTTGAAATTTCCCATTGTTTAGAGAATAACTCTGCTTTGATAAAGCGAAAGTATTGTGTGGTTTAATGGTGGAGATTCTCAAATCAAACAAAATAGTGAGTTTTGTCTCAAGACACTTAACCAAAAGCGCTCCTCCCTTTTATAACCCTCCCCTCAAAATGATGCACGTGTTGATATTGACAGGTATAATCTCATTTTACCATGTACTGAGAAATATTTCAGCCACAAGACTAATTCAATATAGTTCCATCTAGGTACTTTATAAAATAGCACTTTTTTTTTCTCTTCAGTTTCACAGAAATTTATTAAGTATACAAGATGGACTGAGAAAGTTGCACTAAAAGGCCTCATACACACACAAATAAGAGTCATCCATCTGTGTATTGCTTTCAGAGGTCAAAACTCACTTCTAGGAATCACGGGATCACTTGAGAACGTAATTTTCCTTACTTTGTGTCTTTAAAAATAAAAAGGCAAGAATTCAAAATTTCGATGGTCATACAAGAAAACTTTTATTAAGTGTTTCATGACTCTTCTAAGGCACAGATGAAGAACAGCTCACATTCTGACAGCGTAATCAGCAAGAGTAAATTGCTGTTAGAAAACAGATAAAAAAACCTCGAGGCCTCTGCTGAGGTTGACAGGCATTTAAATATTTGCAAAGGCAGAATTCAAACTGCTGCCCCTTAAAACAGCTCCCAACAGAGAGGAGTGAATATAGTGGCAACTTACATTGAGCTAGAACTTGATTTCTTAAACAGTATTTGTAGCACAGAATTAACAAAAAAAAACCCCCAAAAACCCAACCCGAACAGAAAAACACAGAACCCTTATACTGCCAGCCACCCAAGCACCAGTAAATCCGCAGGAATTAAGGCAGATATTTTAGGTGTTGTTTTGACTTCAAACTTTTAGTGAAAATATTCATCAATCCTTTAGGAACATGAACTGTAGCAACACCTAACAATGTTCTCCTCAGAAGCCTCAAAAGTCAGGAGCTGAGCTTGATTTTTAGATCTAAGTGTGCATTAGCTTCTCAGTTCTGCACATGCACACATACAAACTCCACATCATCCTCTTATAACATGCCACTGCAGGAAGCATCCCATACTCTTTCAAGGTTAAGGTTTTGTACAAGTGACCTTCTTTTCCCATCTCAATTATGTAGAGTTTGCTGTCTTTTGACAAGGGAGTTTAACATTTAGTTACTGCAGAGTAAAAGTCATAGAAGCCTTAGATTTTATCCTTTCTTTCATTACTAATTACATATCTGTTTCGATTTTGCATGTCTGAACCACGCTTTCAAGTAGTTCACATGCCTTTGAAAATTCCACATGAAGTGAACTGGGAGAAAAGCAGAGCCCCAGGAAAGTCCCGCTGCCCTCACTAAGTGGGAACAATACTTATTTTAGAGGAAGCTGGAAAATGCTCATGTTGGTAAAGTACTGTGAAAATACAAAATCTTACATGACCGAATGAAAAACATTCTTCAGATGTAAAAGCAAATCAATCCTAATTTTAGACCAGTTTGGCTAGTGCAAAAGCAACTTATTTCACAGTTTTGAAAGAGAAAGATACGCCTTACACAATACAGAAATTGACTTTGGATTTAGTAACAACACTATTTAATAACATACAGTACCTAGTTTTCCCATAACTATTCAATGAAATGTTCATAAAGCTGTACTGTTACAGTTTAAATAGAAATACTATAAGAAGTGGTCAAAAGCTCCCCTATACAACACTTTTCTTGATCCTGTACAAGTTATCATGCAGTTTTGTATCTATAAAGCTTTCTACAAAGTAAAAGATTCAAAGTGCAAGCTTTTGCTTTGAAATGCCTAGCAGATTCATTCATTTAAAAAGTAACATGAAGATTCAGAGGGAAAGCATTACATAGATACAGTAACAACTACACATTCTTTCTCCTCCCCTCAGCTCCCATTCTCATACATTTCTCATCAATGCCCTGGATTTTTATTTTTAAGAATATTATCAATATATAATCACCTAATTCCTTAGCCTACTCAATAATCGTAGCTCAGAGTCAAGCCTGAGAAACCTTGAGCTTCTAACAATAATGAACTATTTTAAATATGACATTTCAGTAACAGAAAGACCTCTGGACCAGATTCTCAGTTCTGTTTCCAGCTCCTCTGGACTCAAGGCTGCTGGAGAGTCCCTTCCCATGAGGGAAATCCCTAGATGGCTTCCTTCAAGCTCTAGTTGTGCAACTGAGCTGCTGAAGCAACTGCTATCTCTTTTTCCTGTTCCTCATGCTCATTTTCTACTAGATCACTCTCCCAGTCCACCCAGCATACATACGGTTGCACCAGCATGGTGCAAGGGGCAGCACAGAAGTGTGAACTGAGAGGCGGCTGCTCATTCTGGAAAGGCTGCTGGAGCCACAGCCTCGGCCTCACCAGGCTTGTGGCTGATGCCAAGGATGTTATAACCACCATCCTCCAATGCTTCTAAACTAATTGCCAGGGAAATAAAAAATATGAGGAGTCATCTCACTCAGTTGAAAGTAACGACACTTGATTCTGTACAGATCTGCACCCTGTGCCCCTCACTCCCAAGCATAATTCCTGCTCTTATCCAAATTCATAATGGCCCCTTTGTTTCTCATCCCACCCCATCATGTCCACTCATGCCCTTCCCTTTCTTCTCCTCTATCCTCCAGCCACCACCCCCTCAAGTCTTTCATGTTCCTTATATGTGTCCTGACTACCATCAGGCAAAATGCCATACAGCTGACCATCCCAAACAACCACTAATTGTTGAGCCCCTGCTTCAGTAACTTTTTTCTTCTAGGGCTCTGGCTGTATGTGCATTTCCTTAGTGGCAATGCCAACCCGAGCAGCAAGCTCCCCAGCTGCTCAGCCACATCTGCACGCAACATGGCTACGAGCATTTGTGCAGCACATGGAGAACAGCATCAGAGACCTGCTTCAGCTAAGGAGGAAAATCCCCGAGCAGCCTCCTGACCCTGCCTGCCACATGGCTGGAACAGGATAGGCAGCCAGAGTTGCAATAGCACTAACTTGAGTCCCTCCTTCATCCAGGCATCTAATTCATGTACTCTTAAGATACTCATCTTTGAAGATTTTTCCTATGCTGCCAAATTTGGTTGAAGTTGGCCAATATTATCATTTAAGTCTTGATTTTTTAGCAGCTGGGACTACCTGGTCCTTGGCTGATACCACTAACAGAAAGGTGAACTTTGAGCTTTTTATGTAATTTTATTTAAAATTTTAACTCAATTTTCTAAGAATCTCCCTTCCTAAAGGGAGATACACAGTAACAGTCCATGGCATGAACAAGTCCATAATCTGCCAACCAGGTCCAAGGCAGGCATCCTTACTTCTCCCAGAAGTTATTTTATATTACAGGTACAAAACCTACTTTTCCACCTGACTTAGAGCTGTAGCTGGTGTTACAGGAGACAGAAAGTTTCCCTCTATTATTTTCTCCAGTTTTTGTGCAAAACGTTCTGGGAAACAGCCGCATGGGAAAGAATAAAAGACACCGATGAGCGCTCTGGCATTTATCAGAACATGATGGAAGACAAGAGTAGTGAAAAGAACCAAACAGTGGCATGACAGCCTCATGGAGAAAAGAGTGACGGGGAACTGCCAAAGAAAGTCAAGGCAGCAGGGCTCATGGCGATGAAGTGGGACAAGAGAGAGCTGGAGTTAGAAGTCATTACTATGAGGAATGGCAAGCAAGGAAACGCCAAACAAAAAAAACCCAACTACATATCTACTCTGTAAATGAGTATTTCTCCTGCTATCCACCCTTCGGTCACAAAACATATATTCCTTAATACCCCCAAACAGCGGACATTTAAGTCAAACCAGGCTGCTGGCAAGCATCGACAGCATGTTTGGGGCTCAGGCGCCAGGAGGAGGGAAGGGGGGCAGCAGGGCACACTGTGGGCACCGGGGGTGATGGGAGCTCCCCCAGGAGCCCCTTCTGTACCCGTTCGCCCCCATTTTGTAACCTCCCCACACCCAAACTCGAAGCCTCAGAGGAAGGAAAGC